CTCCGGCCTTTCCTAGCCCCAGGCCTGCCTGATTTTCCAGTTCCCAGCAACCCCTCCAGCCCTGTTTTCCTTTGCCTCATCACCATATCTTATATTGTATCTTTCTACCCCTTTGTACCTCCCTCTCCCTCAGCCTTCCAATTCCAAAGTTCCCTCTACTTTCCTTCAGGACCCTCCCAGAGTACTCATCTACTACACACCCACGTACCCTTCTCCAGCAAGATTCCAGTGCCTCCTTTTTGGGCCCCCACTAAACTTGGGGTCCCTCGTAACCCCTCCCCACACCTCTGTCCTACTTGTCTCCCCTCTTTTAGTTTCTGTACCCTTTACTCAGGTGGTTTTCTTAGGTGCCAGATTTTTCCCATTAGACTTTTTAAATGCTTCCTTCAGAGGCCTGAAGACTGGTTAAAATTGGGGATGGGTGGAAAATGGCCAGTTAGCTCACTTAATCAGAGCCCAGTCTTGATAACACGAAGGTCAAGGGTTTGGATCCCTGTACAGGCCAGCTGCCACAAAAAATAAATAAATAAATAATTTTTTTTTAAACGACAGCAGTGGGAAAAAAAGGAAGATAGCAGTGGGGAGGGGAAATTTGGGGGCAGAAGTTGGATAACCAGGGCCTGAGAAATGAAGATAAGAGAGTGTACCCCTCCCCCAGGAGACAAAGGAGAAGGTGGATGGAGGAGAAATTGGACTTCAGCGAGCATTAGGATGATGCTACCTGTTCCTGTTCCGTTAACATACCTAAGGCACACACATATCCCGCTCTGGATGGACCAGGAGATTAGGATCAGCAGCTTTCCAACCCCTCCTCCACCCCCAGGCTGGCATGGCAACGCCCACAGTGCCCCAAGTGCTGCCTGCCTTGCGGTGACTCACTTCCTCTGTACGGGCTGCTGATGGTGTCCCAAAGCATAGGACAGACCATCACCAGGCCTTTAGGCCAGAATTTAGGCATCTGGGCAGGCTTCTGGGATGGGCAAACACATGGAGCCTAGTTATGTAAGGTACATCTTTCCAGGTAAAGCTGACCTATACAACACAGAAGCTTATTTAGGTAAGGAGCAGAGGCTGGCTAGTACCTGAACAGAGAGATTCAGGTGCCAGGAGTTCTGGGGAGAAAGTTTCCTAATAAGAGGTAAAACATCCAGGAGGAGTTTCTATTTATTCTGAAATCATGCAATGCAAAATATTTGCAGAAAAGCAATATAGGGTTTGAGGGTCGAAGAAGTATTTATGAGCCAACAGCTGAGGCATTATATATTACTGCTTCTCCCCTGTATTCCACTAAGAAGGACCCAAAATCAGCCAAGCCCTCTTCAAGTGAAGAAAACACTGAGAGTCAGACCTGGATTCTGGTTTCCACTCCATGGCCTTGGGAAATTGGGAAATGAAGAGTAGTGGATTAGATCATCTCCAAGACTTCCTCCAACTCTGAAATTCTAAAATTTGGAGCATGGGGGTAGAAGGGGTTAGTAAATCTGAAAATAACCACAATCTGGCCCTGGAGTTGAACAAAACAAAACCCAGGGATAAAAGGAGTTTTATTTCACCCACGTTTCAATGGAGTAGTTGTATATGCATCATACAAACCCACACTGCTCCCACTCAAAGGCAGCGAGGACTTCACCTCTACCAGGTGACTAGGCTTCTGTCTGCCTTCTCCAAGTTCAGAGTTCAGCCTTGCAGGTAGGCCAGGAATCCCTGAGGAGCTTTGGATTGGGGAAACAAGAGCCCTCGCCCTCCCTTCATTTCCTCCTAAGCTTGTGTGGCACATGTAACCAGAAGAGACTCAGAAGGGTACAGAAAGCCAAGGGCCTGGGGACCCTGGTTGTGGAGCTGCTGTACTGCAGTAACCCAGTCTTCTGCATGTGTCCTGAGGTCTGCCTCAACTGGGTCCTGGGAATAGATAGCTACCTGAGGCTCTTCCCCTGACCCTAGCTGCCCACCAAGTCTACTCAGGAACCCGATGTCCTCAGAATGCTGCACTTCCCCACAAATGGGCTAAGAGGGACCCTTGATAGCTGAGGGTGGAGCCAGAGACCTAAAGTGGCCACTAGAGGGCTCCAGACTCTCCTTGGCTGCTGATGCTCTCTTGTGGCCAGATTGGGGATTGACGAGAAAGAAGTTACAGAAGAGAGCCAGATTGGATTTCTTAGGAAGACAAGTAATAATTATGTTACCATTATAAAATAATATTATAACAATATTTATTGTTATACATGAGTTAACTTTTTGACATGTGTACTTATTACTCTGTGCCCAGCACTCTTCTAAGTGTTTTACATGTGTTAATTTATTTAATTCTCACAATCTGTAACATAAACACTATTATTATCTCTGTTTTGACAATGAGGAAACAGCACAAAAAGGTTAAAGTAGTTGCCCAAGGTCACACAGAAGACCAGAATTCCGACCCTGAGAAGCCTTGCTCCAGAAACTTTGCTTTTAGCCACCATGCTGAGACCAAGTCCCATTTTTCTGGTTGCCAGGTAAAATACAGGATGCACAGTTAGATTATAATTTCAGATAAATAACAAATAATTTGTTAGCATAAGTATATTCCATGATATATTTGGGTCATACTTATACCAATAAATTATTCATTGTTTACCTGAAATTCTAATGTAACTACAAGTTCTGTATTTTTATTTTCTTAATCTAGCATCCCTAATTTTCTTTTTCTTTTTTTTTTTTTTTATATAAAGATGACCGGTAAGGGGATCTTAACCCTTGACTTGGTGTTGTCAGCACCACGCTCAGCCAGTGAGCTAACTGGCCATCCCTATATGGGATCCGAACCCGGGGCCTTGGTGTTATCAGCACCACACTCTCCCGAGTGAGCCACGGGCCGGCCCTAGCATCCCTAATTTTCAAGGCACCTTTCTCTGCCATGTGCCATCACACACATTACCTCATTTAATCCTCCCAGTAAACCTATCCTCAGAGGCCACAGCATATCACCCCACCTCATCCTCTCCCAGTATTCCCAATTAGAGAGCTGAAATGACTAGCTAAGGCTACAGAATACAACAAGTGGCAGTGCTGAGGATTGAACTCGCATTTTCCAAGTCTAATGCTGGTGCATGTTTTCCACTTTAAAGGGAGAGAAAAGTGAGGAGCAGTGATTGCCACCACAGATATTTCCCTTCCCTTTATGGTGTCTCCTCAGGCCTGGTCTGCTCAGTGGTGGTGGTGGTGGCACTGGAAGTGCTGTGAGTCCCTCTTCCAGGGATGTAGGAAAACTGGTGAGGGCCTCTCTGGGTTGGGAAAGTGGCAGAGGAGTGCTGCTCTCTAGCTTCTGTGCCCAGCTCCCACCTGACCCCTCCAGGGAGACAGGAAAGAGACTGTGCCCAGACCCTAGGGAGACAGCTATGAGGTTTGCTGGGGGGAGCCCTGAGGCTCCCTAGGATTGTTCACCTGCTGCTCTGCACACTGGCAGCCTTGAGCCCAGCTGCTTGGGGTTGCATCATCTGCAGCTAAAACAGCCACAGAGCTCTGGCAGCCAAAAGGCAGCAGCAAGAGCCTACGGAACCAGGTGTCAGAGAGCCTTCTCCACCTCCCTGTTGCCTTTTGGGAGCATGATGCTTCTGTCCACAAGAAACACCCCTTGAGTTTTTCTCTCTTGGCTCTGCTGATCTGCTCCCACAGCCAAACACCTGTGCCCTTCCCTCTGCACAGATATAAACAGTCCCTTTGCCCTCTCCACCCTGGCTGGCTGGCTCTAATAAGGCAGTAGGCAAGGGAGTTTCTGGGTTGGGAACCCCCTTCGGAGTGCAGGCTGGGGTGCCCTGCTGGTATGTGCCCTAACAAGTTTTTCTCTATCAGCCTGGAGCCTGTCTGACCTGCCCCCCAGGGAACTGGAGCCAGAGATAGAGCCAGGTCAGAAGCTGGACTTAGAGACTAGGGTTCTGTGACCCCACCTGGCCCCACCGGGAAAACAGTGCACAAAGCCTCCTGTGTCTGGGCTGAGCTGCTGAGAGGCTGAGCAGAGTTCACTCTTGTGGGTTGAGGCCCAGTTCCTGGGAGAGGAGATGCTAGGCTGGAGTTGTTTGCATATGGTCCTCTCCCACGTCTGGGAGGGGCCAGAATCAGAGACAACAGCTGTGTTGGCCTGCAAGAGAGGTCATCTGACTGGCTGCTCAGCCTGGGCTGCACACGCCTCTCTCCTCTACCAGGCCACACAGGAGCTGGTGCCCACACAGGTGAGCTACCAGGTCACAACGACACCCACCTCTCCCCTAGCACCTTTGGGTAAGTGTTGGACCTAGGCCCTCAAGCTGGGGGTATCTTGTTGGTTGGTTGGGGGAGGGAGGAATGAGTTTTCCTTTTCCAACATGAGAGTGCCTGTGCTCTTGTCCAGGCACCCATGTACCTGCTAGCACACATCCTCACATCAGCTCAGAGATTGCACCTGCTGACCTAAAGTTTCCAGCCTAAGGCTCCTAGGGTGACAGGCAAACAAGCAGGTAGGCAGTTTTGTAGGCAGGGTTGGGGGCTTACTTACAGGCTGGGGCTGCAAGTGGGGGAAGGTGCTATCAGGAGTTGTCCCACCCACATACCTACTTAATCTTGCCACCTCCCTTCAACTCCCTCACACTGCCCGAGGAGAACCCATCAGGCCATGGAAGGAAGGGACATGGACCTTAGAAAAGGGGCATCTACCTTAGACCAAGGACTGAGGAGCCTTGGGACCAACCCTGCAGCCAGGGAGAGTTTGGTTGGTGCTAGTTCTGGCAGCATCCCTAATCAATCCTTGCTTCCTAAAGGAAGGGGTGAGAGGTGGGAGGCTTTCCTCCAACCCTCCACTTCACCTCCAGTTCTGGCTCCCAAACTTGCCAAGCAGGTTGATTTTCATTTTTTCTGCAACAAGGGAAAGGAATAAGCAATGGGAGCCCAGGCTCCAGGGTCTGGGGTCATAACAGGGCCCCAAGCCCAGAAGGCCTGGGAAATCCACCTCAGTTGCTCCTGTTTCCTTCTCCAGGGTAGCCAGTCGTGCCATGTCTGTGAGCAATGGGAAGACAGTACCATTCCTGACCCAGGAGATCCTCAGCCACCTGGGTCTTGCCAACAAGGTAGGGGCTGTTGGGATTTTAGGAATCATTTTTAATATATCAACTCAAGCACTGTAAGAAGATGGGGGATTAGGAAGATGGAGAGCAGGCCCTGAGGCTCCACCAAGGGCCTGGCAGGGGCTAGGCAGCCGTGCCGTCCTGATCACCCCATGCTCTTACAGACTGCAGCTTGGGGAACCCTGGGCACCCTCAGGACCTTCTTGAGCTTCAGTGTGGACAAGGATGTGCAGAGGCTGCTGAGGGCCATCACAGGCCAAGGTGAGTCCCTTTCCTTCTGTGCTTAGGGATCTACCTTTTAGAGGCTAATCTATAGACCAAGAAGGAGGCAGGAGGGAGGAACTAATGATGCTCAAGAAGTGTTTATGGGATGTCTTAATTCCTGTATGTCAAGTACCAGGGCAGGTGTGTCATACCCATTCTCACAACACCCCTGTGAGGTAAGGCTTAGTATTTCCACTTTACAGATGAAGAAACTGGTGCTCAGGGAGGGTAAGAGGCTTGCCCAAGGTCACACAGCTCATATGGCAGAGCTGGGATTCTAATCCAAGTCAGCAAATCCCCAAAATCCATTTTTTATCATCACATCAGGCCACTTTTGCCTAAATTTGGGTCAGATTTGCACGCCATTTTGGCATTTTATTTGCGTCTTCTTTTGAAATCAAATGGAAGTAGGGTAAGATAGCTCCTGCTCCTTTCCTTCCCAACCCTTTCCTAGAACTTGTTCTCTCCTCGAAGGAGTAGGGGGATCCCAATCCTATAAAGGCCCTTGTTACAGCTCAGCCCTCGTCTTGGTTCAGGTGTGGACCACAGAGCCATTGTGGGCGTGCTGACCAATCGGAGCAGAGAGCAAAGGCAGCTCATCTCTCGAGCCTTCCAGGAGCGCACCCGACAGGTGAGACTGCTTGGACTTCCTGGGAGCAGTGGACGGGGGTGAGAAACCCCCTGGAGGACTTGGGCTACAGCAACAGCAGCTGAGGCCAGCTCCTGCCTCCTGGCTAAACAAGGGGCTGGTGCTTCAGGCCTGAGGCGAAAACCAGCCAAACCTTCCCAAACCTCCCCACACTTCTGGGGCCCTCCCCCTCACCCCAGTGCCTTTGCTGTGGGGACTATGTATTGTAGGACCTGCTGAAGTCCCTGCAGGCAGCACTTTCTGGCAACTTGGAGAGGATTGTGGTGGCTCTTCTGCAGCCTGCAGCCCAATTCGATGCCCAGGAATTAAGAACAGCCTTGAAGGTACAGGAGAGGAGACTTACTGGGTGTCTGGGAATTGCAGACACCACTGACTACCGTGCCTTTGACCCTCAGAAGGAAAAGTGGTCAGCATCTGCTCTCTGCCCCTCTGTCTGCCATTCTAATGACATGGCCCAGTCTCAGAGTGGCCTCCTAATTTCTTGTAGGCCTCAGGTTCTGCTGAAGATGTGGCCATGGAAATTCTTGCCACCCGAGACCCATCCCAGCTGCAGGAATGCTTGACAGTCTACAAACACTGTAAGAATATGGAGGGAGGAAGTCCCTAGAGCTGGAGAGGGACCCATAGGACAATCTACTCCTCTCCTATATAACCTACATGCAAACCATCTGGGTACCTGGCTGCCCAAGTTCTGTTTCCTTGGGGTCTCTCTCCACCCTCCACGGAGGCTCAGACTCCCCAGGGGAGAGAGCCAGATGTGATGATAACAGAAAGAGAAGCGATGATTAACTATCTTAGTCTGGGGCTTCAGGGAAGATTCCAAACTAATGACAACCTTAGGCACTGTGACAGTCCCAAAGGTACTCATGTCACCTTCCTAGCCCCTTGCTATCCCTGCCATCACACCTCATCCCAAGCTGAATCCAGCCTTGCTGTGGCCTGGGGGAAAGGTGGGAACCTGCTTCCTAGGTCATAGGTGTCCCCTCTCAGGTCCCTGGCTGCCAGCCCTGCTTGGTTGCAACATGCTTTACCCACTAATTTGTAACTAGCTTTTTCCCATCCTTGTCTTACCACTCCCCCTGCTTTTTCTTGTTTTCCCCAATTTTCCTTTGATGTCTGATACTGGCCTGTGTTCTTTTTGTGTGTCTGGCTGGTCACAGGGATTGAACCCTGGACCTTAGTGTTATCAGCGCCACACTCTGACCAACTGAGCTAACTGGCCAGCCCTGGCCTATGTTTTTAATCCCTCTCCTACCTTTCTCCCTTCTTGCTTCTGTTTTTCTCATTTCCTTTCCTTTTCTCCCTTTCCTGCTCTTTCCTTCCTTCCTATTCTACCTTTCACATCATTTTTCCTCACTTCCAATGAGGGTGCCAGGCCTTAGCCATCTTGTTTTTCTCATTTCCTTTCCTTTTCTCCCTTTCCTGCTCTTTCCTTCCTTCCTATTCTACCTCTCACATCATTTTTCCTCACTTCCAATGAGGGTGCCAGGCCTTAGCCATCTTGCCTCATAAATGGGTTTCCCTATCTCCTCTTCACTACTTGGCCACCATTCTGCTTATTATTACTATTATTATTATTATTTATTTTATTTTATTTTTTTGGTGGCCAGCTGGTAGGGAGATCTGAACCTTTGACCTCAGTGTTACAAGGCTGTGCTCTAACCAGCTGACTCCTGGCTACCATTCTAATAACAGATACCTCCTGCCCAGCAGGTTGGTGCTTGGAGATGAGGCCACTCCACACCTCACAGCTTAGAGATGTTTTCAGAGTGGCCATGATGTTATTTGTGCCTTACATCCTGGAAACCAGCAGCCATCAAGCTACTCCAAACAGGAGATGGCAGAGCTGGCAGGACAAGTGGGTCAGTCATTTGTCCTGGGGATATCTACACTGGGAAAAATCAGAAGGATTCAGAGAGCCCCCGACCCCATCCCAGATTTCCAGGTGGAGGCTGAGGAGGACATTAAGTCTGAGACCAGTGGCATCTTACGGGACCTGCTCCTGGCCCTGGCCAAGGTAAGGAGGACTGGCCTTCCAGGGAAGGGAGTTACACTCACCAGGTAAGTGGATGGGCTACAGCAGGGAGCATTGCAGTCATGTAATGGACAAGAGAGGGCTTTAGGGGAGACCAGGGTTTGGCTTGTTTGTCTGGAGGTAAAGAGCGACCCTGAAAAAGTCCTCCTGAGAACAGTTTCTCCTCCTAGGGAGGCCGTGAGAGCTACTCCGGAATCATTGACTATAATCTGGCAGAACAGGATGTCCAGGTGAGTAAGGGGCCTAGGAGTTTGCACAGCCATGCACAAAGCACACGCTTCTTTACCATAGCTTAGAGCCAGGTGACCTATGTACCCATTTCTCCTACAAACCTGTCACTGCCTTGGGGAGAGTGTCCTCAGTAACATGATGGGGGTATGAGGTGTCATAGCTGAAGCCTTTCGCTCATCTAGCCTATGACTCCTGAACTTCCGGAAAGTGAACTCAACTGATTCTCCTTCCATGGGCATTTGGGTGGGGGAAGCCTCCCCAAACTCTTTCTTGGGGATTATTTAATTCCTTGGTACAAGGACTTTTCCAAATCAGGGAATAGAGCTGTGGGACAGAGCCTCTCTCAGCCCTATTTCTTTAAAAAACAAACAAACAAAAAAAACATGAATAAAATCAACTAGTTTAAGGGTAACATAAACTTCTCCACCCTTAGTCCCATTTCCACCATCATGGTGATAGATTCTGGGAACATCATAACCATGGCTCCCCAGACCCCAACCAGTGATCCTGATTCACTGCTCCCTGATTCACTGCTCCCTGATTCATTCCTCCCTCCCAGGCATTACAGCAGGCTGAAGGACCCAGCACAGAGAGGACATGGGTCCTAATCTTCACCCAGAGAAATCCTGTACACCTTATCCGAGGTACACCAAGCCTTCTTTCCCTGCCCCAACGATAAGTTTTGGCTGAGGAAGATGGGGAGGGATCATCCTCCTCTGTGATAATTAATCTCTCCCCAAATTTATCTTTCTAATTACCTCCCATATACACCACAAGTGTTTGATCAGTACCAGCAGTACACTGGGCAAGAGTTGGAGGAGGCTGTCAGGAACCGTTTCCATGAAGATATCCAGGTGGCCCTGCTCAGCCTAGGTAGGGATCAGCTCAGGATATGTGGAGTGAGGGTCTCTCCTGGGATGGGAAATTGTGGCCCTAGTTGTGAAACTCCATCCTTCCCTCTTTGCTTCTAGCTTCAGTGATCAGGAACACGCCATTGTACTTTGCTGACAAACTTCAACAAGCCCTCCAGGTGAGAGGGCACACTCCTTTTTCCTCCCTTTGAAACGAAAACTGGGAAGATACCTCCTGGGCAGGAGAGAGGAAGTTTCAGGCTATTGCTAATGTAACAATCTCACATATGCTTTATATATACTTTATAAACGTATAGTAGCTCTCATTCCTGGGTTTACAAACTGTCTTGTCAAGTGTAGAGGGATGAACTGTGGTTAGAACTAAGTTAGTTGATCCATAAGGATTCTAAAGCTGAAATTTTTGGGCCAGCCCGTGGCTCACTCGGTAGAGTGCGGTGCTGATAACACCAAGGCCGCGGGTTCGGATCCCATATAGGGATGGCCGGTTTGCTCACTGGCTGAGCGTGGTGCTGACAACACCAAGCCAAGGGTTGAGATCCCCTTACCGGTCATCTTTAAAAAAAAAATAAAATAAAAATAAATAAATAAATAAATAAAAATAAAGCTGAAATTTTGGCCTCGTTAATATCTAGGTAGCCAAATATAAATATGAATATTCTCTGTAGGACATTACCTTGTCCAGTTTCAGCTGTTGCCAAAGTGATGGTGATAACAGCAGCAAGAATAATGACAAGGGCTAGCTAGTTAGCTCAGCCGATTAGAGCACAGTGTTGCAACACCAAGGTCAAGGGTTTGCATCCCCGTACCAGCCAGCCACCAAAAAAAGTATGACAAGAGCCAGCATTTCTTAGGTGTTCATTGTGTGCCAGGGCTGTCTTGAGCATGTTACAAACACTTTGATTAATCCTCACAACCATACTCCATCCTCGTTTTATAGATAAAAAACTGAAGTACAGAGAGGTTAAGGACCTTGCCCAAGTTCACACAGCTAGTAAGTAATACAGTCTCCTGCAAAACACTTAATGGTATAGGACATTTACTGCCCTGGGTCAACAACTTGTCGACTATAACATAAATGCTCTTAGCACCCAGCGCCCCCTTTCTCTACACTAGTCAGATTTTGTTCCATATTATCAATACTTAAATCAAAAACAAAAACATGTTATCTATACTTAAACCAGCAATCTTGGTTTGAGTAATTCCAGACAGTATATATAAGCACTTGTTCTATCATCCAGAGATTTCCATCTTGACAGTAGATTATAGTACTTGACTGATAAAGCCTGTATCATTATAATGAGTCAACACTAAGATTCATTTGAAGAGTTGTGGTCATCTGTCTAAACTCCTGTAAAAACAAACTTGTATCCCAGCAGTAAATGATTTTGTTAGGTTTTTTTTTTTGGTGGCTGCCCAGCCCTGAGATCTTAACCCTTGATGTTACAAGGCAGTTAGAAGGCAGTGCTCTAACCAAATGAGCTAGCCAGCCAGCCCCAAATAAACGACTTAGTAGAGTATTTGTTGGTTTTTTTGGCAGTAAGGGGATCTGAGCCCGTGACCTTGGTATTGTAAGGCTGCACTCTAACTTAGCTAACCAGCCAGCCTTGTAGTGTATTTGGATTATAGGACCCACACTCTTGGATGTAAATGCCAATTTATCTTAGAAATCGGAGTCAGAGAGGCTGGCCTGTGGCTCACTAGGGAGAGTGTGGTGCTGATAACACCAAGGCCACGGGTTCGGATCCTATATAGAGATGGCTGGTTAGCTCGCTTGGGAGAGCGTGGTGCTGACAACACCAAGTCAAGGGTTAAGATCCCCTTACTGGTCATCTTTAAAAAAAAAAAAGAAAGAAAGAAATCGGAGTCAGAAATTAATATAAGCCCACTTTTCTGAAAAAATAATTGGGGGGGCAGGTAGTCAGTACAGGGGTCAAACCCTGGACCTTGGTGTTATTTGCACCACGCTCTAACCAACTGAGCTAACTGG